TGTGGTAAGGATGCCCTCACTCTCAGGGTTGGGCAAATGCAGTGGCGGAGCCTGAAAGTGTCCTTTAATGTTGTGCTCTACCTGAGTCACATGCATCTCCCTAACCCTAGTAGAGACCCAGGACTGAGAATCGTGGGCACTTTCCCCTTCTGACTACTACTACAAGGTGATATGTGCATCAGCAACATCCCCATTATGTGGGCACTTGTGAGGACGGCAGGATCTTGGCTCTATACTCTAGCCCTTTTGAACTAAAATCTATTATTTTTCCGAAACTTTTGGTACTTGAGATCAAACTCATGCTGGTCTAGAATTCTGCTACTGAGCTACAATCCCTAACCCTAGAATTTGCTTTTTTAAAGCAAGTTCCAAGGAATTTGTATACATGGTAAAGTCTGGGAATCACCTGGGGCTGGAGAGATGGCTCATCTGCTAAGAAAACTGGCTGCTCTTGCAGAGGACCCAGGTTTGGTTCCCAGTGCCCAACTGCAGATAATAACTGTCTGTGACTTCAGTTCCAGGGGCTCTGATGTCCTCTTCTGGCTTCCTCAAGCACTGCACACACACGGTACACTTAACATACACACAGGCAAAATACACATAAAATAAAAATTTAAATAATAATAAAAGTCTGAGTGAGCTCTCAGCACACACTGCTCCTGTCCTATTACAGGAAAAGTATTCAGAATCAACTGATACAGTTGCCTTTGCGGGTGGGGCACACACTGCAGGGGGCAGGGGGAAGGACACAATGCCTATCCTTACCAGGGCTGTAGTTCTTGACAAGAGGCTGGTGAGGCAGCTGGTGAGGCAGCTCCTCCTGATGGGGAAGAAGGTGATCACTTTAAGACAAAGAAAGATTTGGAGCAACATTTAAAGACAAAGGAAGGATATTAGGGTTAGAAAAGAGGAAAAGTGTTGACAGAATAACTCAAGGCCCACAGGGATGAAGAATAGGTTCATATGTTATGAAGTTAAGTTTTCCCCATTACAGTTTTAGAAAAATCTCTTAAGACTTAGAGGGTTGGGTGAGGTGAATTATATTGATTATGTAGGGATCGCCTCTGGTCAGTCAGTCAGTCAGCAGCCAATTAATAAGAGCCTTGCCATATATCAGTTGTTCAAGTAGAATGGTTAGATTAAAAGGGGCGGGGGTTGGAGAGACGACTCAGTGGTTAAAAGCACTGGCTGCTCTTGCAGAGGACCCAGGTTTGATTCCTAGCACCCACACGGTAGCTAACAACCATCCATAACTCCAGTTCCAGGGGATCTGATGGCCTCTTGTGACCTCATGGGCACTGCACGACACAAGTGCACTTAACATACATGAAAGCAATACATTCATACACTTAAACTTTTTAAAAAATGTTTTTTAATCTATTTATTTTTTTATGTGTATGCATGTAGGTAAGTGCACCCGTGTCGAGCAATGCCCTTGGAGGTCAGAAGAGGCTGTCCGATCACCTGGGACTGGAGTTTCGGACAGTTGTTAGCTGCCATGTGGGTGCTGGGATTTGAATCCGGGTCTTCTGCAAGAACAACCAGTGTTCTTAACTGCTGAGCCATCTCTCCAGCCCCACATTCATGCACTTAAAAATAAAAATAATAAAATATTTAAAAGAGAACAGGAGACCTGAATGTGGTGGTGCATGCCTATGATCCCAGATCTCAGAAGGCAGAGGCAGGCAGAACTCTAGGAGTTCCAGGCCAGTCAGGGCTGCATATTGAGACTCTGTTGAGAGTGCAAGAGAGTATGAGAGAGATATGAGAGAGAGAGAGAGAGAGAGAGAGAGAGAGAGAGAGAGAGAGAGAGAGAGAGGAGTTAGAAAATAGAATATTCATTTAACTCCTTTTCTTCCTGCCTGACACAATGTCAGACATTAAAAAGAAGCAGAATACCTGCTTTCTGGGAATGGTGCTTGTGACACAGCATTCTGTCCTGTGAGACTCTGGAAACCCACTGGAGCTTCTGTGAAAGCTCTTGCTCTCTTGGTTAAAAGGAAAGGTACAGCGTGTGGTGGTGTCCTAGCCCCCTTCACTGCACCTTGATCAATGTCTGGAGTTTGTGACAAGGAGGCCAAATACAAGAGAATTACAGAAAAGACAACCCCGATGTTAGTGAGCCACATTCCTCCATCTTTGTACTAAAAAAAAAGAGTCTTACATGTTTAAGACATCGTAAAATTCAGTTAATTGTTACATAGAAGTGCCTTACCTATCTAGTTTGTCTGTCTGTGTCTATCTGTTTTTCTGGGGGGGGAGCGTGGTTTGAGACAGGGTTTCACATTTAGGTCTGACTGGCCTGAACTTGCTATGTAGAACAGGTTCTATCTGGGCTTTTTAAAACAGGGTTTTAAATTGCCCAGGCAGGCCTAGAATTTGTGATCTGAGTATGAACTTCAGCTCCACCTGCCTCAGCTTCCTGAATACTGGGATTACAGGTGTGTGCTGCCATGTCCATCTTTGGAAATGCATTTAAAAATGATATAACTAAACCATTCATGGTGACCCACATCTGTAAATTCCAGGATTTCGGAGGCTGAAGCAGGAGGATTTTAAGAGTTCAAGGTCATCCTTAGTAACACATTGAGTTTGATGTCAGCCTGAGCTATCTGAGCAGTTGTCTCAAAAACAAAAATAAGATTTAGGAGTGAGGCCAAGCTGGGCGTGGTAGCACAGATCTTTAATCCTAGCACTCATGAGGTTGAGGCAGGTGGATCTCTATGAGTTCAAGGCCAGCATGGTCTACAATAGTGAGTTCTAGGCCAGCTGGGGCTATAGGGAAACCCTGTCTCAAAAAGAGGACCTGGGTTCAATTCCCACATGGTGGCTGACAATCATTTATAACTCCAGTTCCAGGGAATCCAACGCCCTCTTAACCGCTGAGCCTTCTCTCTAGCCCCTAGTGTACTTCTTTTTAAGTTCATGGTTTTTCTGGGCTTGTAGGGAATTGGAGGTCAGTTTGGGATATCCGAGAGCTTGTCTAAACAAACAAAAAAACCCAAACAAGTAAATAATAGAGTTGGGGTATGGGGAAACTGATATGGGAGAATCAAGTTTGGAAAATATTTTTCTTCTGAAACTGGGAAGGCTCCAAAGAGGAGATAAGACTCAAGCTGAGTTTTGGGGGAAGGACAGGAGAAGAGTGTTGGATTTGCAGTCAGGAAATAGGGTTCTCTGCTTCACTCCTTGGCTCCTAGCTGTGAGAATCCAAGGACATCCAACCTTTCTGAGCATGAACTTACCTGTAAAACCTCATCCTATGTGACCTGCCAAAGAGCTGTGATGAACTGAGATTAAATAAGCGAGAGCTGTTTGTAAACTGTAAAACACTGCGTAAATATCTTGGACTGTTATTAAGTGGCTAAGGATGGAAATGATTTTGAAAGACAGCTTTGGGGAAGTGGAGCTTCTGGGCATAGAATGAAAAGTGAAGTGATTTTTTTTTAACATTAAAAAATTTAAATTTATTATGCGTACGTGTGTGCACACATGCACATGTGGAGGTCAGAGGGCAACTTGCAAAGCCAGTTTTTCCTTCTATCATGTGGGTTCCAGGGACTGAACTCAGGATGTCAGGCTTGATGGCAGTCCCCTTTACCCACTGAGCCATCTTGCCAGGCTTGTTTTTTTGTTTCAGCTTCTTTTTTTTTTTTCAGACAAAAGGAAACTGAGCTTTGAAGTTGGCACAGTCAAGGAAGACAAAGATTAGGATCCCATGCTTGAAGAAAACCAAATCCCATGGTCTCACTGGTTATGAAAGGGTAAATGAGGGGGCTGGAGAGATGGCTCAGAGGTTAAGAGCACTGATTGCTTTTGCAGAGGACCCAAGTTCGATTCCCAACACCCACATGGCAGCTAACAACTGTCCATAACTCCAGTTCCAAGGGATCTGACACCCTCTTCTGACCTCTGAAGGTAGTGTACAACACGGGTGCACTGACATACATGCAGGCAATACACTCATACACATAAAATAAAGAAAAATAAAAAAATTTTAAGAGTGAATCAGAACACAACATGAAATGCTCAGAGACTGAACAACAGAGAGAAAACATTTTCTCGTGCTCCTAGATGACCCCTTGAAGGGATTCTGGAACATTGTCTCACACATCTTTGTTTCTAAGAGCCTGAAACTCCAATTTCTGACACTGGGCTCAGTTCTCAATGAGTGAGTGCCTTTAAGGTAGGTTCTGTGCACAATGGTCTAACATGTAAGAGCTCACCTAATCCCAGAAAAAGCACGTAACTCCTTTGCTATGATGAAAAGTAGATAGAGCCAAGGGTTCCAGGACATTCATGGCTACAATAATCAAAGGTCATGGAAGGTAGGAAAACCATAGTGATGTCATTTATTTTTAAAATATTTTATTTTTACGTGTACAAGTACATGGTGTGCATGTATGTAAGTGCACCCGTGTTGTGCAATGCCCATGGAGGTCAGAAAAGAGTGTCGGATCCTCTGGTACTGGAGTTATGGACGGTTGTTAGCCGCCATGCAGGTTGTGGGATTCAAACCCTGGTCCTCTGCAAGAGCTCGTAACCACTAAGCCATCTCTCCAGCTCAGTGATTCCATTTCATAGATCAACATCTGCCTGCACACGTGAGCATGCAAACCGGTTCAATCCGGGTCATGCAGTTAACTGTATTAGTTTAGTTGATTATTATTGGGTCCATATCAAGTTCCTGCTTTGGGGGAAGGTCTCTTACGTAAGCCCTGGAGGGCAGCTGGGTGGGTCCGGGCTTCTCGGGAACTTCTCTGTCTTCCTTTTGTAACTTCTTGTGAGTCTATAATTATTTCCAAAAAAAAACTAAGAAAACAAAAACAAAGGGGAACTTCCCCAGCCTGGCCCCAGCAATCCGGAGGCCGCCCCACCTAGTAGCATCTGGCCTCGCCCCGGGGCTTGCCAGGAGGCCAGCAGGGTGAGGGGTGAGAAGGGCGGGGCCTGGCCGCCGCGCATGCGCATTTCCGCCGTGTCCGGGGCGCGCCGTAGGCGACTGGCGCATGCGCAGTCACGGCCGCGGCAGCCCCCAATCCGCCGCCCCAACGGGGGACAGGGAAGCGTTGGTCCCTCTGCGCTGCCGTCTTTTCCGGCAGTTGGGGCGCTTCCTGTTATCCTCAGCCGCCGCGGCTCAGCGGCCGCTGTCCCTCAGAGTCCCCGGCGCGTCGCGGTCGCTCGCGAGTCTGCGCCGACGCCGCCAGCCCTGCGTCCCCTCAGCCCGGGTCCGGTGAGTGTCTAGCGGCCGTCGCCTCAGCGCCAGCCGGCCGGGGCCGTCCATCGTCTGTGGACCGCGGGCGGCGCTTGGTCCTCGCGTCCTCCCGGCGTCCTCAGCCTCCTAAGTCTCCTGCTAGCGCCCTCCCCGCGGTCCCCTCAGGTCCCCTCACCTTCTGTCACGTCCCTTCTTGACTCCTCAGGTCCCCTCACACCCCCTTCTCGTCCCCTCATATCTCCTCACGTTCCCTCATGTTCTCTCAGGTCCCCTCACACCCCCTCATGTCCCCTCATGTCCCCTCACGTCCCCTCAACGTCCCCTCACGTCCCCTCATGTCCTCTCACACCCCCTCATGTCCCCTGACACTCCTCAGGTCCTTCATGTCCCTTCACGTCCCTTCACGACCCCTCACGTCCCCTCATGCCCTCTCACACCCCTTCATGTCCCCTCACGTCCCCTCAGCCTGGGGCTCCTTCCCTCCCTGTGTGCAGCCAATGCCCTGTCCCCTGGTCGCCGGCTTAGTGGCCAGCTCCCTCTGGGACCTCGGTCAGCACCACTCTTCACCTTGACCTTCTGCCATCAGAACCCCAGGGTGTCTGCCACAGAGAAAGTTCTGCAGCCCTGCTTGGGAGGTGGGGACTTGGGGGTTGGCCAAGTTTCCTGAAGGTTAGTTTTTAGGGTCCGGGTGCCCCCTATCATCTTAAAGGTCCCTGACTGTTAAGAAGGTGGAAAAGGAAGAAGTGGCCAAGGAGTTGGAGGAAAGTGTCCAAAAGCATGCCTAATGGATCCCAGTGGCACTCTGCAAAGGGCCCCAGATACGGACTCTAGTTTAGAAAATGGAGAGTTGGGTCCAGCGAAGTGGCCCCATGGCTTCCTCTTCCTTCAGCTCACCTTGGCTGTGCACTACCCAGTACATGTGGTTTCCCTAAACAAAAAACCACAGCTCCCTGCCCCACCCCAGACCTTCGAGAGCAGCTTCCTCTTGTAGGGACAACTCTGTCTGGCTCTGCATGCCCTGGCGTCATGGCTCAGCCCTCTCTATCACACATACTTTCCACTCCTAGGACTGGACACCACAGGTGCTTTTCCTGAGGTTGACTCTCTAAGGTGCTTACTAAGTGCACAGAACAGTTGGGGGCAGAATATTAATAACTGCTGTTTGCTATGGCTTTACATATTTTTAGAAGAGGCTAGACATGTGTCCCCCCGCCTTTTTTGTCTTTGAGACAGGGTCTCCCTATAGACCCCGCTGGCGTGGAACTCACTATGTAGACCAGGCTGGCCTTGAACTCACAGAATTCCACCTGCCTCTGCTGGGATAAAAGGAGTGCACCACCATGCCCAGTTCCTTTTTTTTTAACCTTTTTAAGATTTTATTTATTTGTTTATTTGTTTGTTTGTTTTTGGTCTTTTTTGAGACAGGGTCTCCCTATAGACCCCGCTGGCGTGGAACTCACTATGTAGACCAGGTTGGCCTTGAACGCACGGAGATCCTCCTGCCTCTGCCTCTTGAATGCTGGGATTAAAGGCGCGCGCCACCATGCCTGATGGATTATTTATTTTTATTTTATGTATGTGAGTGCTTTGCCTGCATGTGTATAAGCACACCATGTGTATGGAGTGCCTGTGGAGGCCAAAAGAGGGCCATAGATCCCCTGGAATTGGAGTTACAGTTTGCCACCTTGTGGGTTCTCGGAACTGAACCCGAGTGCTCTGCAAGAGCAGCCAGTGCTCTTAACTGCTGATCCAGCTCTTGAGCCCCTCTTTTTTTTTTTTGGTTTTTTTTTGAGGCAGGGTCTCCTTGTAGCCCCAGCTGTCCTGGAACTCACTATGTAGACCAGGCTGGCCTGGAACTCACAGAGATCAGCCTGCCTCTGCCTCCCTCTGCCTCCATGCCCGGTGCTTTTTTTTTTTTTGACACAGGGTCTCCCTATAGCCGCAGCTGGCCTCAAGGTGGAGATCAGGCTGACCTTGCTCTCAGAGATCCTCCTTTGAACACTGGGATTAAAAGCATTCGCCACCCCACCCAGCAGACATGTAGCTTTTAAAAATAAATATTTAAAAAATTTTATGTGTATGAGGGTATTGCCTGCATGTATGTAAGTGCACCTCTATGTGCAGTGCCTGTGTTGAGTCCCCTGGAACTGAAGTAACCGATCGTTGTTAGCCACCGTGTAGGTGCTGGGAACTGAACCCTGGTTCTCTGCAAGCTGCTGAGCCAGCTCTCCAGCTCCAAGACACGTGACTCTTAAAGGAATAGTCTTAGCCCCACATTGAATTGTCCCAATGAAAGGTAATGGATCTTTCAGCTACAAAAAATAAAAGTTGGTGAAAGGGTATTTATGGAGATAACAGTACCATTGTAAAGGCAGCCAGGCATAACTGTCTATAGTGCATAAAACAGTGGTTCTTATTTGACCTCATCGTAAGTTTTATAGTCCTTAGCTCGGACTTTTAAGAAGATGTATGCTTTTGTTAACTTTAAAAACAACTTTTAAGAATTTTTCTGTCATTCCTTTGCCTATCAATTTTGCAGAGCTGAAGGATAATGGAATAAATAGGACAAGGACTCCAGTGACTTGTGGGTCACAGCAGGAAGGCTTGAATTATGGGAAGCAGGAGGGAAAGCCCTGCCTCATAAAAAATACTTAGTTGACCCAGTAAACTTAGGAATTGCTGTTGGGCAATATTAATTGTATCTTTTGATGAAAGGTTATTAGAATTAGGCTAAACCTCTCAGGAGAGAAGGAAGAGGAGAGGAGGAGGGTTTGAACAAAGGTCAAAGGGGAAGAACAGTACATACAGTGTTCAGCATTACCTTCAATAATGTGTGAAAAATGAAAACCACTGTTAAGGATTTTTTTAAAGTATTTTATTTATTACTGTCATTTTATGTGTATGAGTGTTTTTCCTGTATGTAGGTAGTAGGTACACTGATGTTGTACAATGCCCAAGGAGCTCAGAAGAGGGTGTCAGATTTCCCTGGAACTGGAGTTACAGACGGTTGTTAGCTGCCATGTGTGTACTGGGAACCAAGCCTGGGTCCTCTGCAAGAGCAGCCAATGCCCTTAACCGCTGAGTTATCTCTCCAGCCCCTTTGTTAAAGATTTTGTTGGCCTATTATATTTAGCACCTTGAGTGCACTTAATATCCTATTGATCTTTTTATAAGTTTAGAAAGTAATGCCAGTGGCAGCTTAAACGAGTCTCTTTCATTCCATTCCTCTGTTTTGTTTTTTTTTTTAAATAGTGCTGGGATTAGAACTCAGGGCCTTGTGCATGCTGGGCTAGCACCCTACCAGTGAGCTGTATCACCAGTCTAAGTCAGAACTTTGTTTCCCAAGTTTTTGTTTGTTTTTTAGCCAATTATTGTAAATACACTCTTTGTTCTTATGACTTTGTTGATAACTAAAAATCATTAGCTTGCTCAGCTTACACTTACTCCTTATGTAGAAGGTATTGTCTGTCTGTGCCTCCCTCCTTCCTTCCCTCCCTCCCTCCCTCCCTCCCTCCTTCCCTCCTTCCTTCCCTCCTTCCCTCCCTATTTCCCTTTCTTCCTGGTTTGAAATTAGGGCCCCATACATGCTAGACAAAACAGCTACCGCTGAGCTATATCTCCAGCTCTTAAGTAATTTCATTTATTAAAATGTAACTGCTTGTGTAGCTGGGTGTGATGGTTCATGCTTGGAATCCCAGCATTTGAGAGACTGAGGCAGGAGGATTACTATGAGTTCATTGCCAGCCTGGTCTACTGACACCCCCCCCCAATACACATATGCAATAACTGCATGTGCATGGAGTCTCCAGAAATTTTCACATAATTCTCACTTGCTTTTGACTTCTTTTTTTTACATTTATTTATTTATTTTGTGTGAGCGCGCGCAGTGGTGGGGAGAAGGAGGGAGCACATACTACAGATGTCAGAGGACAATTTGTGGGAGTTGGTTCTCTCCTATTTTGTGAGTCACAGTCAAACCCGGTTATCAGGCTTTGCTGAGCCACTGAGCCACCTTGCCAGAGGGATTTCTTTTTTTGTATCTGGTTTTTAGCTCTTCTTCACCAAACACTCTTAGAGTGCATGTGGTTTTCATTGTGGGTGGAGGGGTACAGACTGACAAATAAGAAACCACACCCAAGCTTCATAAACCGGAGAGTCTTTCTTTCTTTCTTTCTTTCTTTCTTTCTTTCTTTCTTTCTTTCTTTCTTTCTTTCCTTTCTTTCTTTCTTTCTTTCTTTCTTTCTTGCTTTGGTATTGGTGAAAACTTCCCCATTGAAAAAATAACACAGTATTTTATGGGAATAGTTTAAGTAATTCAGTGTTTTGGATTTGTGATTACTTACCAGTTTTGCCATTATGAATCAAAATGTTTCACAGTGTCTCAAAAAGAAATGGAAGAAAAAAAGAATAAAAGTTTGAGCACTCTTTCTAATGCTAGAACAAATCAGTCTTTTTTTAATGTAAAATGAGGAAGTTGGGACTTTTTTTTTTTTTTTTTTAAATCTTTTGAGACAGGGTCTCCCTGTAGCCCCAGCTGTCCTGGAACTCACTATGTAGACCAGGCTGGCCTTGAACTCACAGAGCTCTGCCTGCCTCTGCCTCCCAAGTGCTGGGATTTAAGGCATGCGCCGTCACGCCCAGCAAGAGCAACAGGTACTCTGAACAGCCAAGTCATCTTTCTAGCCAGATCTCCACTCTTACACAGTTCAGAATCCCCTTCCTGGAGGTCTTTCCACCTTAGCACAATCAAGACAGTCTCCTTCCTCACAGACAAGTCCGTGGGCCAGCATAGTCTAGACAGTTCCTTATTGAGACTCCTTCCGAAGGTGATTCTAGATTTGTGTCAAGTTGACAAAACTTGCATGGCTAGCTTGCTTGCCTGACTTTTCTTCCATATTATGTTTTTTCTCCAGAAAATTTGTACCAGTTTATATTTTGCTTAGTAGATAGGAGTGTGCATATTTGTTGGATTTCAATTCAGTGATCAATACTAATACTTCTTCTCTCTTTCTAGCAGCCATGGCAATGACAGGTTCAACACCTTGCTCATCCATGAGTAATCACACAAAGGAAAGGGTGACAATGACCAAAGTGACATTGGAGAATTTTTATAGCAACCTTATAGCTCAACATGAAGAACGAGAAATGAGGTAAAGAGTTCTGTTTGAAAAAATTTTATCCTAATTTTATCTTTGGGCTGGGGATGTTGTTCAGTGGTTAGAGCCCTTGCCTAGCATCGATAAGGCCAAAAAAATAAAACAACACACATGAAAAATTTGTCATAATTGCATGATTGTAGCATTCATGTCTAGTATAGAAAAGGAGATCAGGGCTGGAGAGCTGGCTTAGCAGTTAAGAGCACTGACTGCTCTTGCAGACTCGTGGCTTGTTAGTTCCTACCATCTACATGGTGGCTACCAAACGTCCATAACTCCAGTTCTAGGAGATCAGATGCCCTTTTCTGGCCTCTGTAGTTATTGCATGACACAGGTACACTTACATACATGCAGGCAGTACACTCATTCATATAAAAATAAAAATAAATTAAAAGGCCCAACACCTGTAGTCCCAGCTCTTGGGAGGCAGAGGCAGGTGGATCTCTGTGAGTTGGAGGCCAGCCTGGTCTAGATAGTGCGTTCCAGGCCAGTTAGGGCTACAGGGAGACCCTGTCTCAAAAAGACAAAAGTTAATTAATTAAAAAATTAAAAGAAGGGAGATGGGGCTGAAGAAATGGCTCAGCTGTTAAGAACACTGGCTGCTCTGGCAGAGGACCTGGGCTCGATTCCCAGCACCCACATTGCAGCTAGCAACTGTCTGTAACTCTAGTTCCAGGGAAATCCAGTGCCCTCTTCTGACCTCCACAGGCATTGTATGACATGGGTGCACACATGCAGGTAATATATACATAAAATAATAAGTAAAATATTTAAAAATAAAAGAAGGGAGACGAGAATAGCAGCAGCTATGTTGTAACCTATCCTACCTTAGTGCAGTGACAGTAACAGATTTCCAAAGTCCTTTCTGGTAAACACTGTATCTACTAGTTAATAAATCAGAATTCTACTGTGGTCTAAAAGAAAGAATTTCATCAGATCAAAGTTATGGCAGTGTGATAAATGGAAAAAGCTCCTTTGGAGTCAGGACTGGGTTTGGAATTCAGCTTGTACCAAATAGTAACTGTATGAGGCTGGAGCTAATTCCTTAAAGGTCTTTCCTTTGCCAGGAAAGTGGGAATAATGCTATTTGTCTTGATGGTTAGCTGGGGGAGGCGAGGGGTTTAGATATAACATGTGAGTACTCAACATGCTAAGCAAACACACACATGCACACACATTGAAAATGTAGAACATCACCATCTTCCCAGAAAGTTCTTTCATATCACACACACACCCACACACCCACCCACCCACCCACACACACACACACACACACACACATTCAAAATGTAGAGTATCACCATCTTTCTAGAAAGTTCTTTCATGTCTCATGATCCTTCAACATTAAGCAGCTGTGGTTGTGATTTTGTTTCTACCAAAGAGTAGTCTTGGCTGCTCTGTACAAAAGGAATCATATAGTAAGTACATTCTGAATAAGGCATTTTTCAAGTACATGAAGTTTTCTGAGACTCATTGGTGTTGCCATGTGCATCAATAGTTTGTTCCTTTGAATTGCTGAGTGCTTTCTGTTTTATAACAGTGCTTGATTATATTTATCCATCCTCTTATTGATAAGCATCTGGGCTCTTTCGGTTTGGGGCAGTTTGAGATAGGGTCTTACTCTTTAGCTCAGACCAACCGCAGACTTATGATCATCTTGCTTTAGCCCCTTAAGTTTTGAGATTATGGATTTGTGCCATTGTGATCAGCCTGAGTCTTGGGCTATTTTGAATATGTGAACATATGTATATAGATGTTTTGTGAACATTGTTTTCTGTTCTCAAGTAAATACCTAAGAATGGAATTATTGATCCTAAACATACATAAATGTGTTTAATTTTATAAAAAATTTTTGGACTTTGTCTAAAATATTGCCAACTATATATGAGCATTTTAGTTGGTTTGTATTTTTGCTAACATTTGTGTGATTAGTATTTGTTTTGTTTTAAGATAGGGTCTCCCTGTCATGCCAGCTGGCTCTAGAACTCGCTTTGTAGACCAGACTGGCCTTGAACTTAGAGCTCTGCCTACCTCTCCCTCCATAAAGCTGGGATTAAAGATGTGTACCACCAAGCCCAGTTTTTTTTTTAAAATTATTTATTTAATAACAATATACTTAGAAGAAGCATTTCATTACAACAGCATTGACATATTCAATAACAATTTCCAGAGCTTAAGATGCATCTCTTTCAAAATTGGCTGTAAATTTTTAGGTTTACAGTTGAATTATTACAGTTATAGAGTATTGTAC